GACACCAATGATGATCATGGTCAAATTTAACATTATATCATTATTCTACTATGTAACCTACAAATGAAGCATACCAGTGTATAGTCAACCCTCCACATTTGCAGGTTTGACTTTTTTTGTAAATTTGGTTATTCAGTTTTGAAAAAAATGTTCTCCGGTACTCTACTAGAAATTGCCCATAGTCTCACTGGAGGACCTTGAGATTCCTAGAGAGATGTTTTAAGACACTAGGTTTTAAAGGTGGGATATTTTTATTGATTACTAGCTGTACCCGCCACACGTTGCTGTGGCCAACTTTCCCTCCCTCTTTCTCTTCTTTCTTTCTCTCCTCCCCTCCCTCTTTCCTTCCTTCCTTCCCTTTTTTCTTTCTCTCTCTCCTTCCTTCTCTTTCCCTCCATCCCCCCTTTCCTTTTCTTTCCCTTCCTCTTTCTCCCCTTTCTTCCTTCTCTACCTATTCTTGGACTGCAACTTCTAGCAGTCCTTTTGATCCATCGATCTATCTGCCTACCTATCTATCTCTATCTAATCTATCTATCTGGAGGATTGCTGGGAGTTGCAGTCCAGGAATAGGAAATTGGAAATATGAAGGGAGTGGGATGCTCTCAAAGAAATCCAAGAAGAAGAAAGCTTGCATCTTGGAAGCAGTGCATTTGGATCCTCCTCCTCTCCTAGGGGGAGATGCTGGGAGCTGTAGTCTGAAAGAGTGTGTAGATATCCTACTGTGTGTTTTGTTTGCCAGGGGGAGTCATTTACTGGAAAGGTAAGTTTCACATAGGAACACACTGCTAGTGTCTCCCCAAGAAGCTTGAATTTCCAGAGGGGAATGCAGGTAGATCAAGGGAATACCAGGTGCTTCCCATTGGAGGATTTTGCTTCTATTTTTGGTCACAGATCAGAAATAACCCTGTGTTTCTCTCCACAGAAAAAGGGAAATGATGTCATGAAAAGGAGGAGCTTTGATCAGAGGACAGGTAGGCCTTGGGTAAGGCCGTGTCCTTCTATTCAGTTTGTCAATTTGGTTTTGCACTCCATCTGGCATCTAGGACCAATTCAGTTCCTGATTCCTATGATAAACCAAGATTCTCCAAAATTGCGGCCTACCAAACATGGGATTCTTGGCTGTGCAGTTGCAACCTTTGATATCTGTACTAATGTAGGTGTCACTGAATGCAACATCACTTGACCCTGAAGTCTTAACTAACTGAAGCATGGGGTTAAAAGCATATTTCTCACAGTTGCTTGTTAGGCAAAGTTCTTTATCTGTCAGATAAAAAATTGCTAAATATTTCAGATATATAAAGATAAAACCACGAAGAGTATTAATCACTGCAAATTAAACAGCTAGTAAGATCTCTGCTCACGACTCCTTGATGGAGACACACTAGGGGCTTCGTTGTCAAATGAGAAGTGCAGCATGTCTTTTCCTTAATTGCACATAAATTACTATGATTATTGTATTGCTGAAGAAAAAAATGCATTTATCTATTAACACCTCAAGAGGAGCATATGTGAACAAAGGGATTTCTGCACTACAACCAAGAATAATGCTGAACAAAGGAATTTATGCACGGCATATAAGATGTATTGCACTTAGAGTAATGGGGGAAAAGATCAAAAGGCCTACCACGAATCTTTAATCCTGAGAAAATCAAAATAATATATGCACTTGCTCAGTTCCTTAGAAGATGAAATACTGCATTTAGAAAGAGAATTTCTACATCTGCATGTACATCTGTGCCTTTATGATCAAACTAAATCATTGGTCCATCTAGTCAGTACACTGTCTATTCAGACTCACAACAGCTATCTAAGGTCTTAACCAGAAGTTTCTACCAGTCATATTACTCTTTTCATAAACTTTTGCAAGCAAAGCTATAGCTAATCCCAAAAATATTAAATGCAGGTAATTTTCCAATATAATAACAGTTAAAAAGAAGAAGTGTCTCTGGTGTTACAGTAAATCTTTCTCTATTTCTTCAATACTGTTTTCATATCTACACAGTAAGTAGTATGTCGGAAGGCAAAAACACCAAGACATTCAGAATATTCATGCTATTGACTTAGCATCAATATACCAAATGAAGGCCTTGTTGAAATGTTATATAGAGAAAAGAAGACGTCAACAGCTCTTTAAAAAGGAGGCTATTAAGGGGTCTCTCTCTCATGTTCTCATTAAACAGAACTATGATGTGGTGGGAGTGAAGTAAAGGCCTTCCCAAAGACTCTTAGAACTTGAGTCAGTTTGTATTGGCATCTTTTAAGTAGTCTGGAATGATATAAGGAAAGCTAAAACTCAAAATGAGCTAAGACCAGCTAGACAACCAAAGAGGAACAACCCCACCTCCCACCCCAATATATTTTAGCAAATAGAATGACAAAAGAGACAGCGGAGACTGTGCAACATGGATGGCAAAATGCTAACATATTAAAATGAAAAGGCAGGATTATTCAATACCTATTTTGCTTCAATATTTCTCCCCAAAAAGGGAACTGCATACTTCCATACAGCAGCAGAGATTTTAGCAAGGCATCTGAATTGCAAATCCAAGATGAATAGGGAGCTGGTCAGGAATCACCTAGCTATCTTAAACAAGTTCAAATCTGCAGGGCCAGACTAATGGAAGCGCTTTGCTAATGTGCTCTCTGAATCCCTTGCTATCATTGCTGAGATATCTCTGAGAGCAGATGAAGTGCCAGACGATTGGAGAAGAGCAAACATTGTCCCTCTCTTCAAATAAAGGCAACAAAGAAAATCCAGGAAAACTGAGACCAGTCGGTCAAGCTGCAATAGCAGGAAAAATATTAGAACAGATTATACAGGAGTCTGACTGCAAATATCTTGATGACAATGAGTGGCCAGTAGGAGCCAACATGTGTTTGTCAAGGACAAATTCTGCCAAACTTTCTTATCAGGTTACTAGATTAATAGACAGTGAAATGAGGCCCCTTCCAACTGTAAGATTCTATGATTTATGGAATGTGAGATTCAATTATAGCAGCAGAGAAAAAAAGATTTTTTCCCCATCACATTGGCATCAGCATATGGATGCTTGAGAGTAGACTGAAGACCTCTGGCAACTGTGAATTTCTGAGTCACAACCAAACCTAAGCAAGAGAATATGAGAGTGCAAAGACAATCTGTACACTACTAGGTAAGATCTAAAACAGTGGGTGGCCAGTTTGCCATCACAATCAACAGTATACACTGTTATGATACAGAGATACTCGTAGGAACACCTCAGCAAGCGAGAGTCCAAAAGTGGCAGGGTAAAACCTGAAACCTCAATCAGTGGCTGATACTGGATGAGGAATTCCTCCCTGGGCACAAAGAAGACCTGGGTGACTTGGAAGGCGCTGAACAGACCGCTCTCTGGCATCACATGATACAAAGCCAATCTTAAGAAATAAGGCTACAAAGTACAGTCCACAACATGCGAGTGTGGAGAAGAGCAAACCACAGACTACCTGTTACAATGCAGTCTGAGTTCTGCTTCATGCATAATGGAGGACCTTCTTACAGAGACTCCAGAGGCATTCCAAGTGACCAGCTACGGGTCAAAGAAAATCTAGAATAATGCCAAGTTTTTAGCTTTGTTTATGTTCTTTTTAAAATACATTATAAATGTACCCGCAATTTGCTTCTCATATGATAAATAAATGCACTCTTGAATCAAGTACACATACAACAAACATGCACTTAGGAAAAAAAATAGCAGCAATGAATATGAAACATACACCCTTCCAAACACACATACAAGCCATCCATAGAATAGATATGCTGCAAAATGGAACTCACTGCATGATATTTTAGTGCACATAGCAGAAACCGACTTTTAAAAAAGAACTTGATATAAAGATGGGAGTGCATATCTATGACTACCTCTAATAAAGCAACAGCCACTGATGTTGCTATATAGCAGTCATTCCCTTTCCATGTGTGACACAGCTGCATACAGTGCATGTGGCTTATCTGTGGCGGCTGACATCTCATTACACAGGAACTGGTAGGTGTCACCACAGCCCTGGGACCCCGAGACTGGCACAAATCCTGCACTGGCAGGGGCTTCTGTACCCCTACAGCTACAGCTGTCACTTTGCATCATGCTGCCCATTTGCATCCATTTACTGAACAGCTCTGCCATGCAGAGCAAGGCACTCAGTTGGGCTTTAACAGAGACAGGAGACAAAGACAGATGGGTAGACATCAGCCACAGGGAAAGCAAGTCCTACAACAGATTCATTACCAAGGGTAAGATGTTCTTCTGGCAGATCACCTGGCATCAATTCTAGATGCTGGAGGGTGGGCCAGAAGGCTAAATAATTCAGCCTCTTTAAATATAAGATGGCAAGGAAGAAAGATATAGCTAGTAGAGACATGAGGAAGAAACATATTGTTTAAATGCAATACATGTGTCCAAATTAGACTTATTTTCACCACAAACTTCTCCGCCCCATCCCTCACGTTTTAGGAATGCATACCCCACTGGCGTCCCCATGGGGCGGGATATAAATAAAGTTTGATTGATTGATGGATTGGCATGCCTGTTTACTAGAAAGCTCCATATCCAAGACAGTAATTAGCGATGCAAATTCGGAACAAAATTCAATAGGAGGACTAAACTGCACCACCACAAGCTGTCACAGCAGACAAAAACAATCTATTTTTCAAATCAACATAAAGGAACGGAGGCTCATCAACGTGAAATCTGATCCTTTAGAAAAGGCAGAAGAACTAGAAAATACCAGAAAAGTCTAAGAAAGGAAGTATCGGTGGCTGAGTGCTGCATTTGCAGATTCTGAAGGATGCCTTCATGCCACAGCGATTAATCTGCATTGAAACTGATGGTTGGTATGTGAACACAGAGGAGGAATCAATCTGGACCCACATGATAATGCAGATGTGAAAACCCTAACATTATTTCAGAGTCAAAGAAACATTAGCAATCCCTTGATGTGCTGATTGTCATACGGAGAGCACAATAAATGAACAATTGCTATACCTTTTCCCCACGCTGTTCACAGAGCTGGCCACGTTCCGAGCTGGGAGAGTTTTTCTCCTTGACAGCTTCTTGGTGCTGCTGCTGTCATTGCTGCTGTCATCGTCTTTCTTTGGTGTGCTCCCTCCTTTGCTGTTGAGGTCCCTTAACACATTATAATTAATTTTACTCGAGATCTTCTTCTGTTCCAACATTTTTTCAATTGCCTCTCCTGCTGTGCTGGCCTGGATCAGCTCCCGTTTCTTTGCAGACTTCTTTGGCTTAATTGAAACATAAAGAACCACAGTGTTATGGGTGGTCAGAACTATTCAATCAATACAATACTGAATGGTGAGCTGCAGTTTAATCATTATCATCCAGACAGGAATGGGTTGTGAGAATGATTGATAGGTAGCACAGTTACATTGGTGCAGGAAGTCAGTTTGTGCCTCGCAATGGTTTTAACAGGATGTTGAAGGGCTCCCACTGCAAAAGACTTCTGAAGAACCACTGTTGTAAAAAGTCTTGAACTCACTGAAAAGCCAGCTAATAAGTAACAATTAAACATTCTCTTTAAGAATGATGAACGGCAGTAGTTCCATGAATAACAAACAAAATGCCGGAAGGGCATTTCCAAATGTTTCTCAAGTAATTTCTGTTCTCTATTATCTGATATCGCAAAATAAGAACAAAGAAATGAACTTATCGTTTCACTGAGACCCCTTCCATACAGCTGAATAAAATCCCACATTTTCTGCCTTCAACTGGAATGTATGGCAGTGCGGACTTAAGATACCCTGTTCAAAGCATGTTGTGGGATTTTCTGCCTTGATATTCTGAGTTATAGGGCTGTGTGTAAGGGCCCCAAATCATACTTTTGTCCCAAGAAAAGCTAAATTAGTTTTTTGTCTACAGTCATGGACTACAATAGACTACCTTTGTGACTGCATCTCTCTCCATGAACCAGCCCAACCCTTCGATCTTCGGGCGAGGCGCCTTGTGGGTACAAAGGAGAGTCTTCTCCTCTGTGGCCCCCTGACTCTGGAATTCATTGCCCGGAGAGATTAGGAAAGCCCCTACTTTGGAAACTTTTAAAAAGAGTCTCAAGACCTGGCTCTGCTATTGTGCTTTTGGAGAGTAGCCACATAATTTTATGCTAGTGCTCCCCCAACGTTCTTGTCCCAGGAGTCCCCTCTTATGTACGTAGGTTTGCTTATTTTCCTATCTCTCTATGAGTTCTCCCTTACAATTAGTTCTGTCCCCTTATCTCACCCGGGGTTTTTAAAATCATTTTATGTACATGCGGCCCGCCCTCTGTCATTTTATTATTATGTTTAGTTCCTATGTTCTGTGTATATTGTTTTATATGCTTTGATGTTTTATTTTAATGTTATGTTGTTATTTTATTGCAATTTGTATTGTTATATTGTAATTCTTATTCGGGCTTGGCCCCATGTAAGCCACTCCGAGTCCCCATTGGGGAGATGGTGGCGGGGTACAAATAAAGATTATTATTATTATTATTATTATTATTATTATTATTATTATTATTATTACAATGAAAATGAAATTATGTAGGTGAGGATTTCATTTGTCATGCTAAAACCAATCCTGTATGTAATGGTGATAACAGCCATCCTGCCAATAGAATATAACCTTTCTAGTACATTACAAAGCATTTACTTCCACTACAATGACCAGAATGATTATTACTCAATTTTCTCTCTTTTTTTCCTATAGCCTATAGTTTAGAGTACACATTCCCTTCATGGGATTTCCCCTTCTCACATAGTACCTGATAATATAAGTTCTGCAGATATGTGTTTGTCCTGAAGTTGCCTGTCTAGTTATGGAGACCCCATGAGTGTCATAAGGTTTTTTAAGGAATTGAATATTCAGAGGTTTTGCCAATGCCTTCCTCTGAAATTGAGCGTACAGCCTCTAGTATTCCTAGCAATTTCCCATAAAAATACTAACCAGAGCTGCTCCTGCTTAGCTTCCAAATTCAGATGAGATCTGGTGCTCTTATACCTTCCAGAAAGGGGACTGAGCAAAACTAGAATAAGAAACTTTTGCCTAGCCTGAAGTCTGCCTTGCTCCTTGTGGAAGTATGGGGTGCACAGAATCATAAATTTGGAAGATCTAGTACAACCTCCTGCCATGTCGGAATATATAATCAAACCATGAGAATAGCAGGTACAGCCAGATCTAAATAGGAGACTATCCACCGCATGGTCACACATGCACACAGCATTCACATGGGGATGCTGTGTGCATGTGATGGGAAAGGCGCACAAGAAGATGGGAAAAGATAGGGCTCTGAGAAATCTGGACCACCTATGATGCCTGGCTTTCAGAACTTCTTGGAGAGAGCCACCTGGCACACTGCCAGCTCTGCTTAAGGGCAGGAGAAGGGAAGGGCAGAAGGCAAGGAGGAAAGTGGGTGAGTGAGAAGAACAATGGAAGTTGGTTGAAAAACCAGGGTGGGGAGGAGCTGGGCTAAAGAACAGAGCAATGCTTCCCAAACTCTGGTCTTCCAGGTGTTTAGACTTCAGCTCCAAAAATCCCTAATCAAAGGCCAAGGCAGCTGAGTTGAAGGAGTTGAAGTCCAAAACACCTTGAGGACTAGAGTTTGAAAATCACTGGAGGGAGAAGCACCAGAAGGACATCTGCAATGGGAAAGTTGGGGCCACTGCAGCTGCTTGCATGACCTTCAACCACAATTCCTTTTTATTCCTCTCTTTTGATGCTAAAGAATGGTAATGTTTTCAGGTGCAGCTACCAATCTCCACAGGGGAAGGTTATGCAATCCCCATCCATTTACCTATTCTTTTTTTAAAAAATAATTTTATTAAGAATTTAATAAAAATAATAAGAAAAAAGGACATAGAAAGAAGTTCCTTTACACGGAAAGTGGGAGAACAATGTGGTCAAGGGAAGGAGGAATTTAAAAGAGGAAAGAAAGAAAAATGAGAAGAAAAAAAGAAAAGAAGGAAAAAAAGTAGTAATAATAATAACAACAACAACAATAAATCACACATACACATACACAAATGTCGACTTCCATCTGCAATTTGGTGGTAGTCTCAGAATATTTACTGAATCTTTGTTGCCTTATTTATCTTAGTTTTCTCTTCTTTTCCCTTATCTTTCTATCATATTTTTCCCTAGGTAGAAGCTTCTTAATTTAAGACAAGCCATACCAACCTTTTAAAACAGAATTTTCACCTTTCTTTTTTAAGATAATCTTTTACTAATTCCTAGTTAATTTGTATCTTCCTTCTTCTTTGGTACGGCATCATCGAGTAAGTCAATATATCCATATTCATAATTTACATTAGTTTCAATAACCATTCTTCTATTGTTGGTGTTTCTTCATTTCTTCAGCACCTGGCATAGATTACCTGGCTGCTGTAGCCATATGATTGAACAGGAGTTCTTTGTCTTTTGCCTTATCTAGATCTAACGTATCTAGCAGGTAATATTTTGGTTCCATTTTAAAATTTATTTGTATGATTTTTTGTACTCTCCCATGGGTTTCTCTCCAGAAATGTTTTGCTTGGTTGAAATTCCACCTATTCTTGAGTGCACTGTCAGTTCCATGAGACCATGTTCCCCTATTTTTGCAGCCTGGATGTCCCAAACAAAGGGGAATGATTCCAGTTGGCAAATGGGTATGATGGAAGAAAGGTAAAGGGGCCCATCATATTCTTTCTAAGAATACAACCCCATCCCTCCTCTCAATCAGAGTACGCAAGTCTGTCTGTCTGATTGTGGGGGTTGGATGCTTATTGCCGATGATCAGCACGGAACAGAATACTGAGCCAGCATTCCAGTCACTGCTGCAACAGTAAGCTCAAGGGATAGAAACACAGTTTAAGTAAAAGTACAGAGCTGTGTTCAAGACTTCCCAGGGGATTGCTGCTCTACGGATCAGTGAAGGCAGCCAACTAGAATACATGGCATTGTCAATCTGCCAGTAAATGGACTTCGCTTAATATGTGCCCCAGCGAAAGGATCCCTGCTACTAAAAGCAAGAACAAGGTCAGAATGACAACACCACATGAAAGTAAAGCAAAACAAAGGCAGCATACAGTCTTATTTTGACCCAGGCCACTGGTTCATTCCTCTCAGTATTGACTACAACAGCCTTCCTAAAACTAATAGTCCTCAGAGTAGGCCCTCCACCATCCCCAGGCAGCAAATGGCCCCAGTTTAAGGACTGACAGTGGTTCTCTGGGGTTTCTGAAGAGTCTTTTCTAGATCCAACTGGAGATATCAGGGGTGAACCTTGGATCCTTCGCAACTCTTTATCTTTTCCGCTATAAAACTAAAAGTGCAGGGCTGGACCACTAAGATTTTGTGGCAATCGTAATGAAAAAGCATGAGCTCTAGAAGGAGGCAACTGTCTGGCAGAACAAGATGCAGGAGTCTTTCTACTGACCCCACTCAGAAAAATACTTCCAGACGCAGTACTTAATCATCACTGTGCGTTATAACTTGGACAAAACAAAGTTAAGAGAGGACGTTGAAATATATGAAAAGATATCATATTGAGGGGAAGGCAGACTGTTTTTCTGCTGCTCTGGAGACTAGGACTTAAAGCAAGAAATTCAAACTGCAGAACAAGAGATTCCACCTGAATGTTTTGAAGAACCTCATGACAGTCAGAGTTGTTTGGCAATGGAATATGAAGCTTCAGAGTCTGCTGGGGTTACTTTTGGAATTTTAAAACAGACTGGGTGGCCATCTGTTCAAGAATGCTTTGACTATGTATTATTTCATGGCAGGAGGTTGGACTGGATAGCCCTTGTGGTCTCTTCCACCTCTTTGATTCTATGATTCTATATGTATGTACCAAGAAAACAATATTTCTGCTGCTAACAAGAGGCCCACAGATCTCAAGAATCTCTCTAATGCATAACTCTTGAGTTTAAAGCTCAGCTCAGGAAGCTCAACAACGGTTTCTTGGCATATCTAAAATATGAGTCTGAATTTAGGCTACAAATCATTTTAACTGTTCATTATGTGTATCTAATTAGATATTAGCTAATCTAATCTCTCTAGGGAGGGCATTCCAGAGCCGGGGGGGGGGGGGGAGCACCACTGAGAAGGCTCTCTCTCTCTCATCCCCACCAATAGAGATGGGACCCAGAGAAGGGACTCCCCAGCAGATCTCAGAGCCCACGCTGGTTTATAGAAGGAGATGAGGTCTCAAAGATAGGTTGGACCTGAAATGTATAGGGCTTTATTGGTAATTACCTGCGCTTTGAATTGGGCCCGGAAATTTGTCAGCAGCCAGTGGAGCTGTTTTAATAGGGGCATGGTATGCTCCCAAAAGCTAGCCCCAGTTAGTAATCTGGCTTTTGACCTTTGCTGTAACTGGAGTTTCCAAGCCACCTTCAAAGGCAGCCCCACGAAGAGTGCACTAAAGTTGTCCATTCTAGATATAACTAAAGCATGGGCCACCATGGCCAAGTCAGGATTTTTGAGGAATGATCACAGATGGCACACCAGTTTTAACTGTGCGTAGGCCCTCCCAGCCAGGGATCCAAGCAGGTGTCCTCCAGCATCACCATCTGGGTATAATCCTCCAGGAAGAAGCGGAGCCACTATAGTGCAGTGCCCCAAGACCCATTTCAGAGAGCTGATCCAAAAGGATACCATGATCAATGGTATGGAAAGCCACTCAGATATCCAAGAAAACCAGCAGGGACACACTCCCCCTATCTAGTTCTCTGCAGAGGTCATCCACCAAGGCTACCAAAGCTATCTCTGTTCCATGACAAGGCTAAACCCAGATTGTGAGGGATCTAGATAATCAATTTCATCAAAGAATTCCTGGAGTTGAGAAACTACCATTATGTCTAGAATCTTACCCAAGAAGGGGAGATTTGAAATAGGTGAGAAGTTTTTCAATACAGAGGAATCCAGGGATGATTTCTTTAAAATAGGTTTTATAATTGCTTTTAAAAAGCTGGATGGAAATTTTCCCTGTTCCAATGAGGTATTGATGATCCTCGTAAACCACTCAGCCAACCCCTCACTGGCAAGTTTGATAAGCCAAAAAAGGCAAGGGTCTAGAGCACATGTGGTTGCATTCACAGCTCCAAAAACCATCAGTATTTTTTGCTGGCCACGGGAGCTCTGTGTGCCCAGTTAGGTCCAATTCCATATTTGGTGGAGATCAGAGTGTTCATTGCAGGTGAACTATAAATTCCAGTACCTACAACTCCAAAATGTCCAGGCCAATTCCCCCTCAAAACCTACCAATATTCAAATTTGGGCATATTGGGTATGCATGCCAAGTTTGGTCCAGATCCATCATTGTTTGGGTTAATAGTGCACACTGGATGTAGGTGAACTACAAATCCTGTAAATCCCTCCAAAGACCTTCAGTATTTTTTGTTGATTATGGGAGTTTTGTGTGTCAAGTTATAGCTATTAATGGAAGTGGGAGCCTGTCTGTGGAAGTAGATACTCCAACCACATACACACATACATATTTTCACTTTTGTTATGTGTATAGACAATAATATGAATGTGGGCACAGCTGCCACTTAGTGAGGCTGCATCAAATTATTTTTACAGGAGGAAAATGTGTGAAAAGTGGAATGAAGCACTTCCTAAAAACAATGCGCATTGTCACTTTTTAATGCGGTTTCCCTGATGTTTAAAGTTCCAAACAACTCTGGCAACATTTTTTTATTTCTTTCAAGAATAGCCCTTTTGCTTAGTAAGAGTCACACTGTTACGGAGCTACATATGATGTGTTGCTGTTATTGCAAAAAGGAGAGCTATTTTGATGAGGACCGCAGTCTTAAAGCTGTGGCATATGCTGGCTGCGAAAAGGCTTAGCAGAGAGTGTTTCCACCTGAATGCCAAGCGCAGCAAGCAGGTCAACCTGAATGTATAACACAGTGACATGCTCTTTTTTCTGCATTGCTACCACCCATTTATAAACTAATCACAGAAAAGCAAAGAACATCAAAAGAGTCACGCTGGATCAGATCAAAGGCCAACCTAGTCTAGCATTCTGTTCACACAGTCGCTAACCAGTTGCCCATGGAAAGTACATCAGCAGTACATATACACAGCTACACCATCTGTCTTGTTATACAGCTGTCTTCATATATCACTGATATATAGTTGCACATTGTATCCCAGAGGTGGTCCAGTGTGGAAAACTGGGAGGCCAAATTAACCACAGGCGATCTTGAAGGGACACACATACACCCACACATTTGTACTTGCTGCAACAATAACAACAATTTAATCTCCAAATCATCCCAAGTCCTAAAGGAAAGATGGGGGCATGCTAACCATATTTTTTTTTGGGGGGGGGGGCTTTCAAGGAGAATTTTATGCCCAAAAGAGTTGTTTTTTTAACAACATGAACCAGAAATAATTTCCTGTTCATTTCTTGTGTCAAAAATAGCTTCTCTTAGGCATTAACGGGCTTTGGGACGCTAAATTGTTTAGAAGGCATTCTGGTGCCTTTTAGCTCTTGTCTTTTAAATTGTAAAACATCTCAAGCCCCAATTTTGGGAGGAAGGGAAATAGAAATAGACATCTTCATTAACGTCTTTATTATTGTTATTATTAGTTGGAAAATACATTTTTCTTGAAAATATTTTTTAAATGTGTCACTTCTTTTGGTCTCCAAACGTGGGAGAAATACCCACCACACTCCTTGTGGCTGTGTGCCTTCAAGTCATTTATGACTTATAATGACACTATCACAGGGTTTTCGTGGCAGAAGTTGCTTAGGGAGGAGGACTGCCTATGTGTTCCTTACCTGGAATAACTGTGTCTGGGCACCACAATTTAAGAGAGATATTGACAAGCTGGAACGTGTCCAGAAGAGAGAGAGAAAATGATCAAAGGTCTGGAGGCCATGCCCTCTGAGGAGCAGCTTAAAGAGATGGGTATTTTTAGCCTGCAGCAGAGAAGGTTGAGACATGATTGTCATGCTTAAATATCTGAAAGGGTGTCGTAAGGAAGAGGGAACAAGCCTGTTTTCTGCTGCCCTGGAGACTAGGATTCAGAGCAATGGGCTCAAATTACAGGAAAGGAGATTCCACACAAATATGAGGAAGAACTTCCTTCCTACCACAGTTCAACAGTGGAACTCTCTGCCTTGGACTGTGGTGGAAGCGCCTTATTTGGAGGCTTTCAAACAGGGGCTGTATGGCCATCTGTATGTGGTGCTTTGATTGTGCTTTTTCCTGCATGGCAGAAGGTTGGACTTGATGGTCCATGTAGTCTCTTCCAACAGGGATTCAAACACTGGTCGTAGTCTAATGCTCACACCACACCACACTCTGGAGCAAAACACTATGGTCTGACATCTGGGGACCCAAAAATAGTTGGGAGGAACACACTTTGTCCACTCCTACTATATAACATGCAGCTTCAAATACTGGAGATGCTATATAGTTATCCTGACAAATAGCTCTTAATGGTCATTCATGAATTTATCTCCTCTCCTTTTACAGTCATCCTAAATTGGCAAATATCACTTTGCCGTAGGTTACAAAAGAGATAGCACATTTAATCAAAGTGATATGAAACAGCAAAAAAGTATATGTGACACAACCCCTCTCTTTGGCTCAAGTCTCCAGTAATGTAAAGAACTCTACCAATTACAAAGCTACGCTTCAGATTTATTATAACTCATATACAGTAGAAGTGTCACTTTCTAAAACTGTATTAGAAAAGATTAAAACAGAGTTATTCCTTGGACTGTCCCATGAGCATTCGAAACCACTGAGAAGCACAACAAAAATTGTCCAGATATCACATTTGCAGTCAGCTTACAGAATATAAATACTGTAAATAAATAAATAAATAAATAATAAAATAAATTCATCCTAAAAGTATTATTTACCTTATGTTCTTTATAAATCCCAAGCTCTTTCTCTTTTGCTATTCTTGCTTCTTTTTCTGGAAGGAGACAAGGAGGAAAAGCAAAGTTAAAGGGCAACTCTAATCCAGAGACCTAAATTTTTGTGTGTGAGTGGTCTTGACTAATCATATACGTAGCTAAAAGCCACGTTTCAGGATAGAGAAGGCACTTGATTGGCCCAGGTTCCACTATTCCAGAGTAGAAAGAGGCATGTATGCAATTACCATACAAAATCATGTATAAACCAAGGGCAGGTTTTGGGGACAAGAGTATAGATTTTGATATGACCCATGGATAGGCTGAGGGTCATTCTGCAGAAAGGGGAAAGTGCCAGCAAAGCCAGCAGCCAGACACCCCGGCTGCTGCCATTTTCCTGCCCAGCACTCAAAAAGGCCAGAATTGGCACCATGGCACAAAGAGTAGGGAGGGTTGCTCCTTCATGTAGATCAGTGGTTCCCAACAAGTGGTCCACAAGAACGAAAATATGGACCGCAGCCTCACCATTAGTACACCGTTGCAACAAAAACAACCCGTCACGCGAAACCCTTTTATAGTGTTGAGGCTTATTAAATATGGTTTTCTGTGGGTGAGCAGATGGAGACTACTGGATGGCAAATGTTCTGCATCAGAAACTAGAGCTGATGTGGTCTATCCAATGCAATTTTCTGAATCAGCACCCAAATAACCAAACCAAATCTAAAGTTGACCAAAAACTGATTTGTAACCCTTTTGGTACTAATGTTGGAGAGTGGTCCCTGGTTAATGTGATCCCTGGTCAAAGTGGTCCCTGGTCATAAAACAGTTGGGAACCACTGATCTCCCAGGCTGGATTAATCTTCTACTTTTATCATCCTAAGGGAAGGGGATAGTTCATTTTTGGTAAGATTTACGATACAATACTCATGCTGACTCAAGGATAAGTTGATCCAAGTATTTTGGGTCAATTTTTTTACTAAAACTTCTAGACTTTTACATGAATATATATAGTAACCTTTTTCTGTTAAACAGAACAGGAATGGAGAAATAGGAGGCTTGGGTGTTTGTGGTTTTAAAGAGGGGAACTTCTGACACCTTTCTGGTACAGAAATTCCAACCCACATAATGAATGGTACTCTTTCCATGAGAAGTTTGGTTATGCGACCACCAATTTGAATTCCGTGTATGACAATTTCATCAAGGAATAAATGTAAGGGGATCGCTAATGTGTAGGCATGGAGAGTTTTGAAGGTATATACATAAATATCAACTTAGAACAGGAAACAAAATGTAAAATATTGTGGCTCACAGATACATGTTAAACTGACACAGTAAGGTAGCATATTTGGGATCTCTTTTAACAGTTAATAAATAACAAAACCCCTATGCCATCAATTCCCCTGAACTGGCCTTGTTGTCCGAATGCCCGATCACCGTCTCCCAAAGCAGTTACTATACTCCGAATTCAAGAATGGAAAACGGAATGTTGATGGACAGGAAAAGAGATTTAAAGATGGGTTTATTGCCAACCTTTAACACTATGGCATAGATATCGAGAACTGGGAAGCCCTGTCCTTGAATGCTCCAACTGGATGTCAGCTGTGACCAGCTGTGCTGCAGAATTCAAACCAATGCCCTCACTGTGGAAGAACATGCGGATAAAGAATAGGGCTCCACAGCCACCTACATATCCACCACCAAGACACTACACTTGGAGGGCCATCATCCTCGGACTACGAGGGATTGCCTAAGTAAATAAGTAACAAAACTGTGCTTCATTGTCTAGTAAGCACATTCTTTTTTAGGAATGTAAAAACAGATGCTTTGCTTGTTCGGTCCTATGTAGTATAGTATTCCTAGGAAGAATTTCTGCCACCAGAAGATGCAGAAGGTTGTCAATTGGGAAAAAAATCCCAATTGATGTCTATCTATCTCCTGCCATTCCTGGCCTAGAGACCCTTTGAGTTAGAAAGAATGTACAAAAATTATTTTGACAAACCATCTGCAACCTACGAGATCATCTAATACATTTTCCCACAACAACAGATGGCAAGCAGATTTTTCTTTTGACAATAGTATCAACACCAATACCAAATTCTGTTCAAGGAGACTAATCTCACACAGCCAAAACTGGATGCTATGCCAAATTATGGTTTTAATACTAAGTGTATATGAAGAGGCAAGCCTCTGTTAAAACTATAAGAAAATGGAAATTCTCATTACTGATTTAAAAGCAACTATTTCACTATTTCGTATTTATTGTTTGCAAACTTAGGGAGCTGTGAGAAGTTTAGTTCAGTCAAAACAGGATCAACACCTGGTTTACGACTATTATTTACTTCATTTCTACCCCTCCTTTCTCACCCAAAGGGACTCAAGGCAGCTTACCATTCCAGCAAAAATGGAGTGGTCCCTAGGTATGAACATACTTAAGAACTCTGTTCCATTTTAAATCAGAAAAGGGATAATAATAATAATAATAATAATAATAATAATAATAATTATTATTATTATTATTATTATTATTATTATTATTATTATTATTATTATTTATACCCCTCCACAAACTCCCCAAGGAGATTTGGGGTGGCTAATAAAAGGCCAACCCCAAAAAATTACAATTAATCAAAATAAAATACAGACAACAAATAATAACATCAAATACAGTGCAACAATAAACAAAATAATACAATAAAATAAACACAAAACATATGATAAAGGAATTGAATACAGTGGAGTGGGCCAAATGCAAAGGATAAAATTATAGAACTCCTGGGTGAGATAGAGAAATAGAGTATATCTAGTGGGAGACTTAGATGGGACAAACAATGGGATTAATCTTCAGTGAGGAGCGAGATAAAGTGCATCAAAATGACACATTTGTACGGGATGCTTCTTACATTTCCCTTGTACATGTACTTGGAGAAGAGGGTGGATGGGAGGCATATGGCCCTTTGTTTCACAACTGCTCATACAAGTAACACTAAAAATAGATTAATATTGAATCATAGAATCCAAATTGACCCATTATTTCAGAAACCTTTACATCATTATTGGGAAACCTATGGCCCTCCAGGCTGGCTCTGACTGATGGGAGTTGGACAACAACAGTATCTGACCATTTTAGGTTTAAAGAGAACCACTGAACACACCACATACGATAGGGACACAAGACTGGGACTGCAAAACATTTGTGACCTAATATAACATTAGGAATGAAAGGCTCTAACATTATTTTGCTTACCCTTTTGTTCCTTTAAATAATCTGCATTTTCCTTCATCCATAGTTCTGCTTTTATTTGGGCTTCTGATTCATTGAGTATATACTGGAGACAGAAACAAATAGGGGAGGTTTTGAGTATAGGTATCAGCATCAGAATCTTGCAGCTTGCCAAATTGTTCACCATCATCCTTCCCTGCATTCGCTCCCTCTCATTTGTAAAATGCAATGACTGTACAATTGCTTTATGGGCCATGTAGCAAAGACCAATATAACTTTTTGCAAATAAGGGCTTGTAGCTTAGAATGATTACATAAAAGGCAACATGATCAATACATTATTTTCAATATTTTTTTAAAAATCAAAGGCCACAAAGACTAACCTCTCACCACCCTCCTAGAATTTAACACTTACAGAATAATAAATAAATGTTATTCACTATGCAAAAAAACCCCTTTAAAATAATTGTTATTGAAATGTCTATTGGCCATGCCTCTCAATATTTAAGTATCGAGGACCCATGTTACCATTAATGGCTTATTTCAAGGCTGTGTTCCACCCATCTTTCTTTAGCCTCATCCATTTAAAGTTAGCTCATCATCTCAAGTTTCCTCTTCAAAGAAACAGATATGAACATACTTCTGAGTGTACACAAATGCCTTCCCTTTACCACGAAGCAACTACAGCTTGATCCAACACCCATTCACACCCACAGAGGCATTTGACCTGTCCTTTTTGACACGATTTGTCATTCTGATCTCTCTCTGTCTCTTTCTCTCTCACACAAACAGAGCTTCTAGCTTCCAGTGGTGCTTTCATCCCGTTTAGTCTGAAATCTCGGCACATAATGTTCACCTGTTAATTTTCACCAGTGATTATTGCCTGTTATTAATAATAATAAATCATGGCCATAGTGATATATTGTGTTGCATGTTACTTTTATTGGATCTTTCTGATCCCTGTGTAAAAGAAAAACCGGATTGGCCCTGTTAAAATATCTCAGTTTCTTAACAGAGACACATACGTAGAGAAGCAATATGGCCAAGGCAAGCGTCCTTACCATATCTATTTCAGTGTCATCAATTCCATTTAGATCCAATTCACCATCTCCAGTATTTTCATCTAAATATAAGCAAATGAAAGTTTAATTAGGATACGCATTCATTCCAAATCAAATCTGGTTCATACTCCTGTTTTAATCATTTCGGAAATGCAGTCTTCCTGATAACTGGTTTGCTAACAAAGCAGTCTTTCAGAAGACAGGGAAAGGCCAAATTAAAAAAAAAGAGGGGGAGCTATTTTTTTCTAACCACATTTTCCTATTTTTACTCTTCCTTGCATGAACACAAATTGTCTCTGCAGTGAATTAGCATGGAGAATAGACATGAGCACCACACACACTTATTTCCTCGTGAATCACAATTAATATAATTCAATGGCAAACACTCAATTAAATGCAAGGTGAAGGAATGAAAATTAGGAACATTTGAACATTTGAAGTTAAGGATATGGAACAATGGGACAGCCACCATCTTCACCCATGTGAATGATGACTACAGGCAGTCCCAGAGTTACAAACATCCAACTTCCAAACAACTCGTAGTTAAGAATAGAAGTGAAACAACAGGAAGTGAGGGAAATCTACTCCTTGGAACGGAAAGAGTTGTCATGGGGAACAGGTACCTGTTCGGATTTACAAAAAAAATTATCTAATTTAGGAACAAAATCTGAAATAAGAGATTGGCAGATCTAGACTTCAGCTCCACAAAATAAAGAACAAAGACTATGACTATCGTTCTTCCCTCTGTTTGCCAAATTTTCTTCTCTATGCCTCCCTCCCTCCTGCTTTTATGCCTGGAAGTCATTATAATAACCAAGGAAGCAGGTGGAGGCAGCATTTACTTCCAAATTAGAGAGGGTAGAAATACAGGAAGGCTTTTTTCTCCCACTGCATTAGAGATGGGAATGCTAAAAGCGTAGTCTCCCAGTTGATTTGAAGACCCAGCATGATGTGGTGGTTTGAAAATAGGGGCAGAACTTTAACAGGCTTCAAAGCTCCACTCAGCTATGGACACCCACTGAGTGACCACGGGCAGGTCACACTCCCTCAGCTTCAAAGGAAGGCAATGGGAAACCTCCTAAACTCATAGAGTTGGAAGAAGACCCCCCCAGGAGCATCCAGTCCAACCCCTTGGTATGCATGAATGTACAAAGTACTCCCAACAGATGATCCCAGCCATTTGAATATATCTTCCCAAGAGCACCCTAAAATACGGTCATCATAAAATTGAATCACTTTAGATATAATCCATATGGTCCCCAAAAGTGGGATTCAAGGAGGCAAAGAGTGCTTCTATGCTGCCAAATAATGCAGTGTAGAGATTAAGTGTGCATCCACACAATACACACATACTGATGCAATTTATCCTAGGGTAAGCTGCTTAATGCAGCCGCACTCCAGATTTTAAAAAGAGGGGAAGGTCTGAATCTTGCTCCTTGATTCAGATCTTTGCCTTTAATGGGGAAGTGAGGACAGCCATCTTCAATTCCTGTGTGGGATCCCTGGTCGCTGCCTCCTTAGCCAACCTGCTATCCCTGGGCTTAGGCAGTCCAGGGAGGTGCGATAGCTGTCCTTACCTTCCCTCTTCAACCCCGCCACACTATTTTCCCCAGGAGAATGCAGGTTGGCATGATATGTAGCCTCTTCTTCCTGGTTGTGTGCCATATCATAGGCAAACAAAATGGGGGGGGGGGGKGGTTCACATCTTTGAAGTTTCTTTGCCAGTCACGTAGCATGAAACCTGGAAGAAGAGGCTGCATACCATGTGGTAGATGGATTTTCTTTCTTCTTCTGGGGAAAATCAGAAGGTGTAGGGARGGTGGAAAYCGGGCCCATTACCAGCCCTGCCGAACCAGCTGTGACACACCTGGGCTGTCGGGCTTGTGTCTCACTGCCACTGTRGCTCAGGACACGCCTATCTGACTGTACGGCGGGCCAGAACTGGCATTTTCATGCTGGTTCCGAGTCAAATTATGTTCTATGTAGAACTACCCTAAGACCACTATGAGTGATTTTGAAGAAAATTAGTGGCCGAATGTGTTCCTGTGGTTGCAGAATCACAAGATGGAAAGAACCCTAAGGAACAGCTTAAGAGAGTGACCTGGGACATCATCTTACCAGTAACCCTATCTGTGGAAATAACACCTTTCTCTACAAATACACACATAAACACAACCATTCACCTTCATCCAAGTACTACTGTTGTGTATCTTCAAATAATTTCCAACTCATGGTGACCACATGGTGAACCTATCACAGTTTTTCTCAGCAGGATGTATTCATATTTGTCCTCTGAAGCTGAAAGTGTGCAACTTGCTCCAGTGGGTTTTCATGGCTAAATGGGAATTTAAACCGTGGTCTCCATAATCCTAGCCCAACCACTCTTAAACAAACAATGCTGGCTCGGACTATCCCACAGTACTATGTCAATATATATCTGAAGCTCTAAGATTACTTAGGGCTCTTTCACACAGCCATATAACTCAGAATATCAAGGCAGAAAATTCCACAGTAACTGCTTTGAACTGGGTTATCTGAGTCCACACTGACATATATCCCAGTTCAAAGCAGAAAATGTGGGATTTTACTCAACTGTGTGGAAGGGGCCTTAGAGTTGCTCCATGCAAGATTATTTTTTGAAGGTACAAAACTCCTTATGCACAAAATTTAATAGTTAAATACATTTTCAATCTTTAGGATGCCAGTTGATCTCTTTCTTGCATGCACACAGAGTGAACATTTAATCACACAGAAGCAGTAATTCTAGTCAATTTCCTAAATTCTTAACTCCGAAGAAAGAGGAAACATAGAACTAAAATGGTTATCTGGGAAAGATACCCACACATGAGTCTTTTGTACAGTGCCCTTAGAAAAAGCCATGCTAATGGATTTCAAAACTTGGAAGCGGAACAACATATTTATTTGGAAGCCCATAAATCCTCACAGGAGCACTAAACTTGATGCCTTATATTCACAAGCAAGGCATGAGTTTTCAAACCACTAGATAATGTTTTCACACTGATACTACTCAAGACATTTTGTATACTTTATCATTCCATTCTCCCGAGAATGCACCAGACAACATACATTTGCTGCAGGCAATTTTATGATAATATATTGACTGAAAATGCCTCAGGAAAAGGTTTTTAAAATGGCATATTTTAGTCATGAGTTTTACTGACAACTCAGCAAACATTAAACTGTGTTCCACGCCATGTGCAACTTTTTACATCATAACTTTTAACGCGTACCTAGCGGGGGAGAAATGCCTTGTAGCAAATCCATCACAAAACCTGAAAAAAATGCTTCCCGAGAATAGAGTCTTATTGCTGACTTTCCATAAATTGCCTCAAAATCAAGTAAATGCACAAATAGGAGCTTTACTTTGCCCTTCAGAGACAATACTATTACACCATCCCAAGCAAATTGGTTAACATCACTGTCATGCCATGCAATTTGAACTAGGTTTGCAAAGTGAGAACAGCTACATTTAAATGGCAGTCTAGGAAAGATACTTCTTGGTGCAAGAATCTAAGAATCCATCTGCCCCACACAGTGTGGAAGGCATTGGCCTGGATCCCATTAGGCGTTTCAGCTAAAGTAGACCTATTGCCTCCATTGCGGAATGGTGAGTCTCTACTTTGCAAATTCCTTTCTTTGTTTTCGACCTTTATCAGGGTGGTGTACAACTGAAAATAGTTCCTAAAGACTTTTATAGAAAGCTTTATTTTGGCTTAACAGCAGAAAGAAAGAAATATTTGTTCCAGGTGAATTTTCAACAGGAAGACATTTATTGTAGGTTTCCAAACTGTGTATTTTTAAGGCTGTGGGCCACTTTGGGTCACAGTGCTGGTGAGGGGAATTTGATATATATAATCAAAGGGTCTACTCTAGTTTGGACTACAAACGGTTCGGGACCCGCCTACCTTTGTGACCTACCTTTCGGTAGGTTCGGGACCCGCCTACCTTTGCATCTCCCTTCATAAACCTGCATGAGCTCTTCAATCTTCTGGGGATGCCCTCCTCTCGCCCCCACCGTTATCACAAATTTGACTTGTTGGGACGAGGGAGAGGGCCTTCTCTGCTGTGGCCCCCCAGATATGAAACTCACTGTCTAGTGAGATTAGGCTAGCCCCCACTCTGGCAGCTTTTAAGAAAGACCTGAAAACCTGGCTTTTCCGATGTGCCTATGGCAAATGAATGCATATCCAGCTTTAATCTCTTTCCACCTTACTCTGTCCTCGTGATGCATTCTCCCTCTGCCCTTAATTGAAGATTTAACACAATTGTTTTTTTGGTCCTTTTGCCCCCTCCTCCCTCCTAGAAACACATTCTCCCTCAGAAACATATTCTACCCATTTCATCCAGGGTTTTATCAAATTTTATCAATTTTACTTTTAATACATCTGGTCCACCCACTGTGTCCTATTTCTTTTCATGTCATTTGGATGTCAGCTGGACGGCCATCTGTCAAGGGTGATTTGAATGCAATATTCCTGCTTCTTGGCAGGGGGTTGGACTGGATGGCCCATGAGGTCTCTTCCAACTCTTTGATTCTATGATTCTATGATTTTGGACCTGTTTATTTTATTTCATTACGTTTGTATTTATTTTGATGGTGTTTTGCTTCATTGTATTGTATTTGCTGTAATTGTATCTGTTTTGTTATAATTTTGGGCCTGGCCTCATGTTAGCTGCCCCGAGTCCCCGCTGGGGAGATGGTGGTGGAATATAAATAAAGTGTATTATAATAATTTAAGAGGAAATATTTTCATCTTTCTGTGGCTGGTTAGAAATGTAAAGAAACACTTGAGTGAGACAATTCCCCTCGCCAGTTGGCAGTATTACCAAGACAATCAGTGCACAGAGTAGCTGTATTGGACCATTTATTGATTACATTTTATCTGAGCCTTTCTCCAAGGAGCTCATAGCAACACAGGAAGTTATCTTACATCTGGTCAAATTATTTTTCCATTTAGCTCAATGCTGTCTGTTCTGAGCAGAGCACAGAAAAATTAATTTGGAAGGCCTACAGATCCCACATTCTGAAAATTGTAATCTT